TCAACCTTCTAGCTTTTCTGGTTCTCGAGTTGAAAGTGGGTGACAAAAAGTGCGAACACACAGATACACACACACACACGCACATACACACACACACACACATACACACAGCCTCTTCCCAATATGCGTTTTTTCAATTTGCATATGTGCAAAAACGCACAAAAATTGGTATATACGCTCAGCACACACACAGAGACACACACGCACAAACACACAGACACAACAGACATGATCTCGTCAATGTGCGTCTTATGCATTGCAGAGATGCAAAAAACTCATAAAAACGACGAGAATAATAGCGTAATAATAAATTAGTGAGGTGGATAGTGCGCATAAAATCTAATTTCCAAAAATTCGGGAAATTTTTCGAGACATATTGGTTGGTGTGAAATCAGAAAAGTGTTACCAATTGCAAGCACACCAATAATTGTCTGTACCAAGCCTGAATTTAATAAACCGTCATCAACCGATGCTTTTTGGTCTGCCAATTACGTGCGAACAACCTTCCAAAAAGACGCACGTGGTAACATTGTAAATCATACTCTCAGGAACTGAAAACCAGTGTAATTAATTTTCACTTTGTTTCAGATGACTAAAGTAATTGAACGTACGCTGGATTCGCCGCGCAATCATCGCTGCTGCGTGATTCGCGAGCATGTTCAGCGCCGTTATCCGCGTTGCGGTATTCCGGACAGCAACAGTTATGTGAAAATTAGTACAATTAATGTTGCCTCGAAGCCACTGGCAGAAAAAGACAAAAAGTACGCTCATAAGTTTAAATATCTAACGGGTTCTTTAAAAAAAATGGACCATTTATATAGAAATGAAGAAAAATAAGCCGATCGCAGCTTCCAAGTGTCAAAATAAGGAGGGTGTATAACTTATCATTTCTCCATTAAATCAGTGTCGCGGCAACAGCTTAGAAGGAACTGGACAAATTACGAGGACTATCATGGCGTAGGCCCGAAAAAGGCATGCATTTTGGAAGTGGCGTTTTTCAACTCAAAGAAGATCCCTTGTCTGTTGCCTCTTTTATCAATTTGTGTTGCACTTGACTGGCGCTGCAAATTGGTGTCTGTAGGTCCAGTTTTTTGGCTCTCCAGTGCGGTTTTGCTCGTCCTAATTAATCTTACTTTTTTGATTAAATTTTGCTTCATCAGTCCAAGTTAATATCACATAATTTATTTTTGGTCGGCGCAGTTAATTTATTTCTGACAGACAAAAACAGTATGTTTCAGTTCTTTTTTTAATTATTCAGCCGATGTCAGGTATATATTTCTTGACCACGCCCTTCTTGAACTTTTTTAGAAATGTTGAAAGATATTTAACAAGGAATTTGGACTTTTCAGGATCTAGTTCATTTAGTTTAGGATCTAATAATTTTTGCTTTCCGATTACTTTTTACTTGCGTTTATTAAGTCAAGTTTTGTCATCAAGCCAATTTGTACATTGTTTTCAATCGAGTGCTAGTTTATCGATGGAAATTCAAATTTGAAAGTTCAGTGCTGTAAGTACGCTCTGGAAAGATCAAATTAATACATTCAACACTGTTTTTTACTGATGGCTTTACAATTATGTCATTTGTTCTTCTTTAGCGGATAATTATATAATTTCGGAATTTTAGAACTGATAAGACTACCCCACAGAAGCGGAAAAAATCAGCACCCGAACTCTATACGGCTCGCTCATCCAATGGAACCGAAGGCAGTCGGGAAGTGTCTTCTGACAGCGGTGCGTTACAGTATTATTGAATCAGTTATAACCAAACGTCTCAGGATCTGAGGTTTTGGCAAAGTCCTCTGTTCCGAGAGTCGCTTGCAAGCAAGATGATGATGGGTTTGCCTCTTTGATGCGCTTCAGCATAACTTGCTTCGAAACAAATGAAGAAGCCTTAGAGGAACTGACTGTCTTACAACTGAAGTTGGACCTTTGGCCTCCTAAAGTGACAACGGTGCTACCTGTTACCGCGCCATCCCTTTCAGCTGTTTGTTTCCCACGTGTTGAAAATTAAGTATGCTGGTACTAATCGCTTTGCATACCTTTACTTTAAGCACGACTTTACATACTGATCTGACACAAAGAAATGATCAAAGGAAATTCTGATAAATTTTCTCGAAAATGAAATTTTTGATTAAAGGAAATAATGGTAAAATATATTGGTGAGAAGGAAAATATTTTCCTGCGTTTTTCCGTGCAGCGCTTTTCTAGCAACAACATGATAAGCTGGAATACCAAATTTGAGCATCTCTCTAAAACGGCACTATTCAGTAACTGAGTGCAAATCAAATTTTTCAAGCTAGAAGTTGAGCCTTATCATTTTAAAGTACAAGCTCTCACAGTAAAATGCGGCGGGTAGCTGGAAAAGGGGAAAATTGGGGAAAATTGCTAACTCAGGGACAAAAAAAGCTAGAAAGCTGAAAATTCAGGGCAGTGTTCCATACCTAGATATGACCAAAAGATTTCAAATTCAGCTCCCTAACATGTCCAAGCCTCAAGTAGGGGACATGAAAATTTTAAAGTGAAATTTAATAAATGGAGGACCAGAAACCCTAGAAAGGTAGAATTTTGAAGAAATGTACCTTTCCCTCACGCACGATCAAAACATTTCAAATTCAGCTCCCTATTACTCCCGAGACTCATCTGAAAAAGCATGAAAATGCACGCACACGTGAAAGTTTCCCTCTCCTCCATCCTTTTCCCAATTCCTGCATCTGGAGCGAAATTTGGGCACCCACCACCCTCCAACAAAGTCCAGCTTTCTACCCCACGGATAGGCAACCCGCGGCCCGTGATTGTTAATCCGGTCCGCAATGAGGATCGGAATATGGTGCCTAATCGGACGAATGGGGTTTCGTAGTTCCGCCACGCCTCTGCCTTCTTGTGGAAATAAGTAAAATATGCAAAAGGTTAACAGATGACAGTCTGGAAAATAGCTGGAGACTTTGTGTCGGCGATATAAATCCAGATTTCAACAATCTTATGTCAGAAGTTTAAGCCCTGTGCTCACATTAATCTGCTGTTGCTTATTTTTTTACTGGATGAAAAACTTGATAAAAATTTATCTGTTTTTATGCATTTTTGCACCTTATGTAGATGCAATGCATAATTTCAAGAGAATGCCTGCGCGTGTATATGTGTGTGTGTTCAGAAGTGAGTGTACTTTGTCACTCTCTTTCAACACAGCAACGAGGACAGCCATGATGCAAAACTACTATCCCAGTCGACACCCTTTTCCCCCGCATGCAAGAAAAGATCAAAAGACAGACACATGAATTACACGTGTTAAACTGTAAAGCAACAATCATTCATACTGTTAATGATCTAATTACGCCAAGTTTAGAGGGGAAACACGCGGTAGCAGGGGCAAGCCTGGTGTGTTGCTACAAGGGGTTTTTATTAAAAGGTGGCCCACGAGCTTAAGTAAGTATGTAAATCAGGCCCGTGTGCCGTCAAAGGTTGCCCATGCCTGCTCTACCCGCTACCAGATAATCCAGCTACCGAGTGCTGGGTAGCCTGACGGACAAACGACGTCCCAAAGCAGCATTAACAGAGAAACAAGGATGCCTCTCAGTGGAGGCCGAGTCGAGCCGAGACGAGTTCCAATAATTGCGGCATCTGCTGCTCATGTCTCGCGCTTGAATACGCCAATTGTTACTCGATGCGGCAATCTTTTCTTCCTGAACATTTGGTGGACTGAAGAATTTTTAAGCAGTGGTTATTTGTCCCCTTGTAGCCCGAAATGTGTAAAACTAGTCCTCATGCATGCAAATTTCTCGCAGGTGCGTTGGACTGACTTCAGCTATCAGTTCATTTAGCAGGGCTAATTTCACTTCAGGCTTTTTTACTTCACATCATACTGTGTGTACGGTTATGCTTCTCATTATTATGCAAACCTGCATTATAGGATAATAGTAACGATATTCGCTTTTACTGCAGTAAAAGCTGTGTTTACTGGAACTGATTGATATTCTTCGTGGGTTCTTTTTCGCGCACTAGCAACTTTCTCTTCGTCGAGTCACTGAAGCCATCAGATAGCTGCACAATAAACTTGTAGAACTTCGAGGACCAGTATGTCGCAAATTCTAGCTACGGGATTCCAAGCTATCTTACTCCAGCAAGAAATGCTGCAAAAACGCATGGTCGCACCGGTCTGCCAGGTGTGCGTCGTTAATGGTTTTTTAAAAAACACACTGGTCAATATTGAAACAGTGATTCCAGGAAAACAACCGACATTTACAACAAATTGCGAAGGTTTAAGTTTCCAACTGCATCACTCTTTTTGCTTTTACTGCCGGCACTTTGCCTCACAGCACCTTGCTTTCAAAATTCACTTATAAAAATGTGTCTCAAAATAAAAATTTTCCAACTCAGTGAATTACTGCAGGAGAAAGTGGCTCTAGAAACGGCAAAATGTTTATGCAGCGCGCCAAAGTAAAAAAGGGCGAAGTATTTCTCCTGGACGAGGTACAGTTCTTTTAGCATAATTTTCTTCCCAAAAAAAAAAA